AACTGCAGAGCTGAAGAGGTAAGCCAGAAAAGCCTGTGCCATCAACCCTTCTGGAAATGTCCCACTCATACCTTGTCCCTTGTACAAACAAACCTTCCATGCAAGGATTGACCTCATCAGCCTCTCCAACCCTCAGATGACTAGAGTGTTCCTCGTTGACTCGATGGACAAACAACAAGAACATCTTGGGAGACTTGTACATAATGTAGTGAATCGGCATAATATCAAGCATGAGATGGAAGATGAATTTATTGTCCAGAAAGAGAGTATTGTATATAATGTGGCCAAAAGGCTTATTACCAGTCATGAATTTATCATGGAAGACTTGTGTATAATGGAGCAAAAAGGCTTATTACCAGTCATGAATTTATCATGGGAGACTTGTGTATAATGGGGCCAAAAGGCTTATTACCAGTCATGGATTTATATTGGGAGACTTGTGTATAATGGTGCAGAAAGGCTTATTACCAGTCATGAATTTATCATGGGAGAATTGTGTATAATGGGGCAAAAAGGCTTATTACCAGTCATGAATTTATCATGGGAGACTTGTGTATAATGGGGTCAAAATGCTTACTCTCAGGCATGGATTTATCATAAGATATGTGTGGTGTATAATGGGCCAAAGGCTTATTATCAGTCATGGGTTTATCATAGGAGATTGTGTATAATGGGGCCAAAAGACTTTTTTATCAGGCATGAATTTATCATGGGAGACTTGTGAATAACGGGGCCAAAAGGCTTATATCAGACATGGATTTATTATGGGAGACTTGTGGTGTATGCTTACTTATCATCAGGCATGGATTTATCATGGAGATTTGTGGTGTATAATGGAGCCAAAAGTCTTATTATCAGACTTGGATTTATCATGGGACACTTATGTATAATGAGCCAAAATGGCCTATCATCAGACATGGATTTATCATGGGAGGCTTGTGGTGTATAATGGGGCAAAAAGGTTAATTATCAGGAATGTATTTATCATGGAAGACTTGTGTATAATGGGCCAAAAGGCTTGTCATCAGACATGAATTTTTGGGAGACTTGGGGTGTATAAATGACCAAAAGGCTTGTCATGAGACATGGATTTATCATGGGAGACTTGTGTATAATGGGGCAAAACGGCTTATTATCAGACATGGATTTATCATGGAAGACGTATGGTGTATAATGGGGCATAAATGCTTATTATCAGACAAGGATTATTTATCAGGGGAGACTTATGGTGCATAATGGGGCAAAAAGGCTTTTTATGAGACATGGATTTATCAGGGAGACAGACTTATGGTATATAATTGGGCCAAAGTTTTATTATCAGACATGGATTTATCAATGGAGACTTGTGGTGTATAATTGGGCCAAAGGCTTATCATTAGACATGGATTTATCATGGGAGACTTGTGGTATATAATATGGTGGATGGTCATAATATTAAGCAGTCAATATATCATGATTATTTGTGGAAGAGAGATAAATTTTAAGCTTTAATAAGATTCAGATTATTTCAAAGTTATGTCAGTAGTTTTAATTGTGGAAGTAAATAATTTATTTTAATAATTAACTTACATTTTTGTTTGTTTAAAGTTATAGACAAACCACACTTGGTATGCTTAATTGCAGCTGTTAAAAGCTATCAGTGATAAATTGATATGTTTGGAGGCTAGTCTAGTAGATGATACCACATAAATCTAAAAGCAAGTCATATAAAATCAAGGTGAACATCTATATTTCAAACGAAAGCCTTCTTTTATACCTCCACATTAGAAAGTGACTGTATAGAATTAATACTGTCCCTATGTCTAAGCTTGTGTCAATCCTCTTTTTCTGAATCGTGATGCTGATACATTACTACATGTATATCATTTACTAAGATCAAACTTATGATGTGGATATAGCTTGGAATGCTCATGTGCACCAAAACATTTAATGTGACCCTATGTTTCATCATTTGCACAAAACGGATTAACAATCTTGACCAGGCAATAAGTCCCCAAACAGTTTATTCGTTCTTACTAAACTTTAAGTGTTATCTCAAGATAAAACTAGGTCACTGTAACATACTTTACCTGAATATACTGAAAAAAAGCTTCAAAAATATTTTCTTCATTCCATTTCATGTTAAAATTCCATTTCTATAATATGTATTGTGTACAGCTTGTGTTAGGCCAGAAATTTAGGTTTTTGTGACCTACAATCTAGGATTGTTTTAAATTAGTTAAAAATAATATCAATGTCCTAATTTAATAACTTTTCACCTATGACTACCAAATTTACGATACATCATTGGATCATGTATGCATGATACCATAATTTGATCACTGTAGTCTTTTATTCCAGGATTTATTTGAGATTGCTTAAAATTGTCTCAATAATCCCTGTCCAAACTAATGCCAAACTTAGCCTTATGTGTATGCTGTTATAAACATGCTTTGCCTACCATTATTAGATCACAATGAACTACTTTTTATAACTAAATCCAAATTATACTTATATCTGAGCTCTAACTTTAACTGCCATTCAGTTTGTTACCCTGCTTACAAAATAAATAGATTTGGAAAAGAAAGCATATTTCTCATTAAAACTGCATCAGGTACCATTCTTTCAGGATTTGATGGTTACTCAAAGATGGCATATATATTCATATTTCAAGTCCTTTGAATTTATTGCCTCAAGATGTACATTGTAGGTTTGCTTGAAGATTGAGCTGTATGAAACCTTAAAGTTAGGTTGCTGTGACCTATATTCTATTCTAAAAATATCTTGTGAACTCCAATAAATAACAATGCTAGTTTCCCTCTTTCCATTCATGTTTATTTAATAATATCAAAATTTTTCTATTGTCATTATGATTTAAAGCAATCTGTTTGGCCAGGCCCTTTTGAATATTTTGGGCTCATACCTATATGAACCCAATTTTGCTTTGTTGAGCCATGCACATCAATACTAATGTCTGTAGTTGTACTGTATTTATACTGTATTTTTACTCAATGAATGAGCATGGGATAACTCAAACTCTGACTTCTTATGTAAGATTATAATTATGAACTAAATACTGGATCTTTATTTTCAAAATTGAGAAATATTTGCTAATGCTATAAGCAAAATACACTTTAAATCAATAAATAAACAATGTCTGCTACATACCGTGATGTGAAGACATGCCAGTTGCATGCAAAATTCATCAGTGTTTGTATGTAGTGTTGTATGATATAAAATCTGTACATCATTATGATACTGAAATTAAAATTAGTTTTGTGGAATAAAATCAAAAAAAAGGAGAAGAAAAAAGAAAACAAAGTAAAATGGCCATATAGGAGAATCAAACCCACAACCTTCACATTATTAGCACAACATTTAGACCACTACCTCTTGACAGATATTGTATAAAAGCCAGGATAGTTACAGTTTGTATTATTTTGCCTTATTAATTGAAATTCAAAATATGATTAAATAAAAGAATGTTATTGAACTATGATTCATTTAATTGTTTATGCTTTTAAATTTAATCATAAGAAATGATTGTTTATTTTATTTTCAAATTCAATGAAGTATGAATTGTAAAAATGCTGTTTAAAATTTTGTATAATTTTGCTTATGTACAAATTTATGTAAATTTTGTTTACAATTCAGCTATGTTTAGTGTCTCATTACCACTTGCCATCATATATGTCTGGTGTCTTATTACCACTTACAATTCTGTTTGTCTGGTTCCTCATTACCACTTGCCATCATATATGTCTGGTTCCTCATTACCACTTACCATAATGTATATATGGTGCTCATTACCAATTACCATCATGCATATCTGGTGCCTCATTACCACTTACCATCAAGTATGTCTTGTGCATCATTATCATGACACTGCCATCATATATATCTTGTGCCTCATTACCACTTACCATCATGTATATCTGGTGCATTACCACTTACTATCATATTTGTCTGGTGTCTCATGTATCATCATGCATGTCCAGTACCTCATTACCACATATCATCATGTATGTCTAATGCCTCATTACCACTTACCATTATGTATGTCTTGTGTATTATTACCACTTACCATCTTACATGTCTAAGACTCATTACCAATTATCATCATGTATGTCTAGTGTTTCATTACCATTTACCATCATGTATGTCTGCTGTCTTTTTACTGCTTACCACCCTGTATCTCTGTTGGCTCATTACCACTTGCCTTCATCCATGTCTGGTGCCTCACTTTTACTTACCATCACATATGTCTGGTGTCTTATTACCACTTGCCATCACGTATGTCTGGTGTTTCATTGCCATCATGTATGTCTGATTATTGAATTACCACTTACCATCATGTATATCTGTTGCCTCATTACCAGTTATCATCATGTATATCTGGTACCTGATTGCCACTCACCATAATGCATGCTTGATGTCTCAATTCCACTTACCATTATGGATTAATGGTGTCTCATTATCACTTACCATTATGGATGCATGGTGTCTCATTATCACTTACCATTATGGATGCATGGTGTCTCATTATCATTTACTATTATGGATGCATGGTATCTCATTATCACTTACCATTATGAATGCATGGTGTCTCATTATCACTTACCATCATATATGACCAATGCCTCATTACCACTTGGCTTTGTGGCTTAAGTCAATGCCAAAATTAGATCTTACATGTCATGTATTCAGCAAGATCATATTAGAGAGAGGAAAGCTCCCAAAAGTGTAAAAGGGAGCAAGCTCTTTAACAGGACATTTGAATTTGGTTTGGGTTTGTTTTTTTGTACATAGCTTTAATATTTTTAGTCATATCACTGCAATGTCTACAATGTGGGTTATTCATAGTGATGTATAGCACTGTGGCATCATGCAACTGACATGTAGCACTGTGTCCAACCCAGTCACATTATCCTGACACCTGGCGAACCAGTACTAACACTAACCTCTTAATGGTGAGCACTTACCAAGGCAGCTGTTAGAGCAATGTTTATAAGTCTTTGGTATGACTCAGCTGGGGTTTGAACCCATGACCTTCCACATTTGAAATGGAAGCTCTAACCACAAGAGCACC